TCATTATGTTATATTATATTACATTACATTATTTTATTTTATATTATATTACATTACATTATTTTATATTATATTACTTTATATTAGATTATGTTATATTATATTTTATTATGTTATATTATATCATAACCCTTATTGATCCACAGACAATAAATGTAGGTGTTGCAGCAGCACAAGAACAGATCAATAGGAAAAAAATATATAAATATAACATTTTAAAAAAGGAATAAAAATAAAAGTACACACTATACAAGAGCAATATAGTGTTGCTACATCGAGTATCCGTGCCTGGTGTTGTACTTAAATATGTTGTAATTATAAAACACAGCATAACAAGTAGGCTGAATAAAGGAGTTTAACTCTTTATGATATTTTTCACATTATAATATTTCTTTCATCGCTGAGTGCAGAGTGGTGGTGAGTTCAAGGGGTCCAGTGAAAGTGGGGGAAACTGTCCTCTACTCCCTTTCTGTCCTTGTGCTAAGCTTCTCAAACTTCCTGAGGACTTTCACTGTCACTCTGAGACTCCAGCTCATATATTCAGTCCCTCTCCACGTGTACTGGCCCTTTAAGAAGCTCCACTGCTGCACTTTTTTCCACCAGTGTGTGTTTCACTATGGCGAATGGATAAACAAACAGAGCCCAATGGGTAGGAAAGCGGCAGTAACGGTGAACGCATCTCCCCCGTTAGTTAGTGACTAACAGCAGTTAGTAACAGTCCGGTGACTGCGGGTGTGTTCTCGGCAGGGTGTGCTCTCGGGACACGGATGCTTGTCAGCGCGAATAGCGATGAAAAGAGCGAAAATAGTTTGCTCGTCCACACTGAGCACCTCGGTAGTAGCAGCCGGTGATACAGGCTAACCGTTACCGGACTCCGGACCCTTTCTTCTCTTTCTCACGGCGGTTTTTTTTTTAGCTAAAAATGGAAAGAGGTGAACTCTAACACAGCGACCGTTAGCTTGTAATATCACACTTTTTTCTTTATCTTTCATTCAGTCGCTCGTTGTTTTTCTATTGAAGTCGAGTTTACCTGTCGTTCAAAATGTTGACAGGATCTAAAACCACGTTCAAAGTGAGACAAATGCTGCCAGACATCAAGGTAAGGTGATGACGTGAAGTTAGCTAACTGATGCTAACTATATTAGCTTTGATTAGTGACAGACTTCTAACAGTGTTAGCTTTAACTTGTTTTATCCCGTTTTGTGCTGTCAAATAACTGCAGACTGAGCTGTAATGCGGGTAACGCCATTTAACACTCAATCTTGAGTGCTTTTTATTTGAAATATCAGTTTCACAGCAGATTTTTAAGCTTTTTTAAATAAAAAAATGTATGATTTTGTATGTGTTTCCATCCCTTGTCATTGAACCCCTCTTTTCCTTCTCTCCTCTGGCACGAGCCAGCTTCAGTATGTAGAATAAAGGTCATATCGTGTATTATTTCAAGGTTACTTGTGATTTGCAAGTCAGTCAGATGAAGGTTTGAGTTCAGTTTTGCTTTCTCAGTGCTTTAACACCCATATGATTAAACACCAGAGAGGCCAGGAAGCAGGCAATGACATGATGCAGGAAACACCGGCCATCATTCACTATGCAGAGCTATAAATGTGCATTCAGGTAGTTTGCAGCCTGCCTGGATTATAAATCTGCGGTTCCTCCTCAGAGATGCCTCTGTGAGCCTTGTTCAGTGTGTGAAAGTGGACTGTCTCATGGTATTTTCGTTCACAAGTCAGGACGGCAGCTTTGCAGGGATGAGGCTGCAGAGGGCTGCTGTTTCTTACTGTCCGGAGAACAGAGAGATGCATATTTATTGTAAGGATGAGAATGTTTGCAGCCTGATATAATTAGAAACCTGCAGTTCCTCCTCTAAAAATCCCTCTGTGAGCCTTATTCAGTGTGTGAAAGTGGACTGTATCATGGTATTTTTGTTCACAAGTCAGGATGGCAGCTTTGCAGGGACGAGGCTGCAGAGGGCTGCTGTTTCTTTCTGTTTGGACAACATTATTTTGAGGGTGAAAATCTACATTCAGGTAGTTTGCAGCCTGACTGAATTAGAAAGCTGCGGCTCCTCCTTAAAAAATCCCTCTGTTAGCCTTATTCAGTGTGTGAATGTGGACTGTGTCATAGTATTTTTGATCACAAC